GCTTTGTAAACTGGACAGAGATAAGAACGTATGCCAGCTTGTGTTTTGATGTGTCTCATCTGCTGCTAATGGTCGTAATGTGTTCATTTAAGCTCTTTGAACTCTGAACTGAACGTCTTAAATGTGAACATTTAATGAATACACAATTTCAAGCACTGATAGACAACACTACACTCGGAGTGAATTTCAATGTTCGCTCAGCTTATATTTACTCAGACGTGTTAAACCAACAAAGTAACAAAGTTATTAGTTGACTTTTGATCATTAGCTTCTCTGTGAAACTATACATTTATAGGACGCCTTCAATCATCTTACCGCTAAATGGAACTGCCATTAGAAAGTGATTATAACCAAGTGTAAACAGACTGGCTCAGTTTCCATGTCGAGTATCTACAACAAATACAGCTTTTTTCCCGTCAATGGTCAAAGCTGATGATTAGTAAATATCTAATTGTGCCATTCATGAAAGGCAACCCAATAAGAAATATTTTTTACCAGCAATAAAACTGGACATATATTCTAGGACTATAATTTCTTTTTTTTAAAGAGGTTTTTTTTTTTAGACAAAAATGTAGTTAGATTTCACTTGTTTTCTCTTTTTTTCTTTTTTTTTCCCAAAAGCAAAAAATAACTCAAACATTTAGAGAACGGGACAATTTAGCATCAAATATTTGTCACCTAAAACCTTTGATTCTCGGAGAGTAAAATCCACTAACCTCATATGGCCCTGTGCTTGCTTAGACTCTGCTAGTAAAGTGGAGCCAACGCCTAGCAGGTGTACAATTTCACTACCCTCAAAACGTCCCTCCTTATCGCCCTCAAAAAACCATGCAAAATATAGACAAAAGTGTCTTCACCAACATGAAAACTATCGATCCAACAAACAGGTTTTAGTGGAGTCGTTGATCAAAACTCCGTCATGAACACATGAGTCGGTTTCCTCAGCCGACGGCTCGTTGCGGAGGTTTATGTGTGTTATTCTCCAACAAACATCATCGAGACCATCCTCATAACTGTTAGAGCTGCTTAAAGCCAAATCAAACATCAAACCGCCCACCCGTAACGCAGGACGGTTTCTATTCTAACAGGCGCCTCTGCTCGCACGACAGGTGGAGATACACCTGTGCAGGCTTGAACATGACAGGTGAAATCCGCGGAGTCACACCATGGGAAATTATGAGTTATAATCGCTTTACGGTTTTGCAGATTAAGTCTTGGAGTAAACTCACCCTTAAAAAATAGAAATAATACCTTAAATATCGGAGCTTATTTTTAAAATATCGGACAGCAGCTGGACCACCGTGTTTAAAAAAAATTAATCCGTCAGTGCCACGAACTCAGAATAACAGTGTATAAATCCCCACAATATTAAGAAGTAAGTGAAGATTATAATGTCTGGTGCTGATTGTGCATGCTGTAAGTGCAGAGTCAGGACACTTACTTGTCATGCTCCTGTGACATTTTGGTCGGTCGAACTGGACTTTCTAGTTGGTACTGAAAATCCGATCCGTCTTCTTTGCCGTGGAAAAACTCCACCGCTCACGCTGGATGAGGGCTGCGGCAACAAACAAGGTGTCCCCTTCAAGAGAACGGGTTTTGTCGGCTTTTCTCGCTTTTTTGGGGCAATGCTGAGAAATTAAGGCCGGTTTTACCTGTGACGGACGCGCGGATTGGATTACAGGTGCAAGGGGGCGGGGCCTAACTGTAAATTACCAACTCCAAGGCTGCGATTGGCGGACCTGGCAGCCTACCTGAGGAGAGGGCCCCAGGGTGAGCCAGAGGAGGAGCAGCATCAACAACTGGGATTTTATCATGCTGTGGTTAATAATTGGGAAAGAGATGTCTTCAAATAATTGATTATTTTTATTTAAATGATGAGGCAATTGAAGGGTTCAATTTTAAAAAAGGTGAAACGGACGAAACACTGACGGGCGAAAAAAAAGAGTATTTTAAGCAACAACATCCCTGGCCTCTCTTTTGCTAAATGTAATCTTTTAAAAATCACTGCATGTATTAATGAATGCATTAATAATCATGCATGCAAGTTATGAGGCTAACAATTTACTCAGTTCACAATGACATACGATTGTTAAAATATGTTCAACATTTAAAGTGCTCAAATGAAATTTGAAACCGTTTTTGTTGGGAAGAAAAAATGTAAAAGATAAGCAGAATCCAGAACGTATTTGTGTTCTGAGGTTTATTTGAATATAACATGAAGTCTGAAAAGGGAAATTTCTACTTCAGGAAATTCATATATTTTTGTGCACTGTTACAGAGGTTATTGGTGGTGATGCTGGGACTTTCTAATCACCTTAGATCAATTAATTGCAATAAACTTGATCATCTACAGTTCAATGAAAACGGAGCTGACTACCTCTCCTGACATGGATCATGTGATATGGTCAAAAGCCAAAGAACAAAGTATTTCGCATTAAATTAACCTTTGCATTGAGGTTGTTTTCTCCACCTGGTTTTGTTTCAAAATATGTTGCAGGATTACTCATGTTATATTATTAATGAAATCATGTAATAATTGTTACGCGGTTATTAAATGTAATAAATCCCTTTCCTCAGTTTCCTGTAACGACAATACATAGTTGTTTAAATTTCCCTGGAGGACAGAGCAGCATCAGCTTGCAGAGCCGCAGGTAAGAAAAAAGACAAATTAGTTCCGAAACCTACAGAATCATCAAGAAGAGCAAATTAAACTATGAATAAAGATGCGCCCAAAACAAGGGTCCATTTGATTAAAGTAGTCCAGATGGATTTACACATTACCATATTCAAATGATTAACGTCTCTGACAGAACCCTGAAACTATAAAGCGAAACAGTAGCAGCTTATTGTCAATGGCTCTTCATAATAGTTTTGGTAATAGAAGAAATTAGTTTCCAAATATTAAAAAGTTTAAATCTATGACACATGTGAAGCTGCTGTATGTGGATATACATGATCCAACCAGCTGTGATATTTATGATTTAAAAAAGATTTAAAAAACAACAACATACATTTACAAAACAACCACAAGATCCCCAGAAGAGGAGATGAAAGGAAACAACCCGAGTGAAAACAAACAATTTTCTCAGAAAATTAGAGCGCTTAAAAGATGCTATCAGCAATATTCAGGGCTTCTCTCCACAAACACAAAGCACAGAAACTAACTGTTAAGCCCCCTTGCCCCCTACACTCACTCAGTCGTCTCTCTCACTCTCTCTCTGTGTAACGGACACACACACACACACACACACGCTCCTGGATCCTGGTTTACTGTTTACTCATCCCAGTGGAAAAACACCTGCTTCTGCTTTCTCCTGGAGCTTGTTTGTGTTTGCACTGAGGACATGGGACAGTACTTTGAGGGAGGGATCCGAGGATGTATGTGTGTGTGTGTGTGTGTGTGTGTGTGTGTGTGTGTGCGCGCGTGGGTGCATGTGGGTGTGTGTTTCTGGGGCTGGGAATATGTACCTGAGCTGCTGACGGTGATCTGACTTGATGCTGACTTGACAAAGACCTGGGAGACCAAGGCATGAGGAGGAAAAAAGAGTTGAACTAAACAGTGGGATTAAACCTGAGAAAAGAACTATACAGTTATTCTTGGGGCGAAAAATACGTATTTGTACCAAATACTCCCTTAAAAAACTGGCACAGAGAGACATAAAAGTACTGGACTCAAAACATTTCTCGTGCTGCAGAATGGGCCTTGATACTGAGTATACTACACCAAAGGCTGTTCCTATAGATGCTAGTTTAACCGCATACTTTAGTTACTGTTAGGGGGTTACATCCAGTGGCTCTCAACCTAAACGTCTCAAAGATTTTCTTTGTTGTGAAATATTTCTCATTTCACTTGTCTGGTCCTGGAACACATGACAATAAACAAAAAAAAACATCTCGAGCTCAAAGGTCAAAAGAAATGAATTTACTTGACATCACATTGTATTTAATAAATGTATCATATCTTTTTTTTCTTAATTTGTAACTATTGCTTTCAGTTAAATCTAATGAAACAAACGTTTTACGAAAGAGTAAAGTAGTACCTCATATGTAGCACTACCATGTACTGCATATAGAGTATTATACATTTCCCTTCCTGAGGGGCCGGAAAACCGTTGTTCCTTCTTTAGATGTCACTCATCTGCAGTAGAGTTTTTCTCAATTCATGGATGGTTTAACTTCATCCCATCTGCAATCCTTTAATTCTCTCTTCACCTGCTTTATAGCGGGACTTCACGATATGAGGCCGAGAGTGCTGCTGCAAGGCTTTAGCCGAACCCCAAACACGTACCGACTAAGGAAACAACACGTTTCTTCCCACTTTAATGTAAGTTTGCCCTCCCAAAAGAAGTCAAGCCATGCACACCTGGGCCAGGCTCACAGTAGTCGGTGTGCAACAGCCCGAGGCAAGGAGCTGATCTCAGGACTGTTTGGAGAGAGACACACAAACGTGCAGCGGGATGTCCAATATGCTTAAGGACATCCGTGTCAATTTGCTTAGCGTACATCCTCCCCCTCACACCACCTCACCTGACCTCTCTCATCCCTCTTTTCCACATCCCCCCCCCTCCTAGAAGACAGTTGTTTTTTAATGCCATCCCACCTCTCTGCAGGCATCACACGGGGATGGAAATAAGATGCAAATCCGTGCCACTTTTCCAGCGTGTGAGCACTCGTCTGAGCCGAAGGGGCTCGTAACTGTATGACGGGTCGGTTTGAGTCCCACTAGACTGCTGGCGTCGGTTTGAATGTCCGGGAGGTCACGGTGAAGCTTGTCGGTTAAACTTACGAGCAGCTTGAATAATGAGACGGCGTTGTGATGCGTTTGAAGATCATTGTCCTGCTGTTGGATGTTCGTAACTGGCAGTGTAAACGTTGAGGTGTGAAATGACGTTGTTGGCATTGTTGTTTCACGTCTTCTCAGCTCTGCCTGGATGACGGATGAGTCTGACCCCCGGACATTATTTCACAGACTTTGTCGTATGGCAATTGCTGCTGCTGTGTTTTTTTTTTTTGCTTTTTCAATTACAGTCTCCTCTGATTGTCTCCATAGAGACGATGTTGTGATGTTTTTCAGTGAATTCGCTGAGGCCGGGGTTTGATGCTATCACGTCGTTCCCAATGATGACAGTGAAAACAAGCGCAGAGGGCACGGCAGACCCGCATGCTGCAGCTAGACTCCACTTGAGCTAATGCACACACACAACACGCACAAACAGAACAGCAAACAAGTCAGTACTTTGTCCAGGTGTTATGGGATCTAGGAATCCTCGATGCAGTGTTTGTGTGTGTTTTTCTCTATGTTTTTGCCCTGAGCTGTGGATGTCACTGATCATTTAGTCTGATTAAAGAGAATTATTATTATTACGTTGTTGTTATGGAAATAACATAGCGATCCAACCTGATTTGTGCAGCTGACATGATCAGCTGGTTGATTGGTTGGTCAAGTGACAGGAAATCAAATGGTCACTGAACGATCGATCACAATGTTTGCATGTTGGCTTGAAAGTAGATGTTCTGTGAAGCCATATAAGACCTACACTCAAGCAAGTTATTATACATACATTGTCAAATTGGAGCTGTGATGTAGATCTGTGGCCTGTGAGTTGTTCAGACACACAGGCCACAGATCCACCTGAGCGCTGGTTGTCAGCGGCTCTACAGGCTCACACATTTCCATGCAGGCAGAACATACACTCATTACACGCAAAATGTGTGGGGCGTTTGTGTGCGTCATTTCTCTTCCCTCTAGTCTTGGGCTAAGTCTCTGTTTTGATACATGCTTAATCCCATAAAAAGTACAAAGTACCTACTGTTGTTGCATCTACAGTTAGCTATAAGTGTGAGTGAGGTGTTAAGGAATGTAGGAAAACCGCAAACACAACATTCCTGCGTGATCACTGTCACTTACGCACTTCCGTCCCCCAGAAATCTTACCTCTTTTATTTTAGTTTCACCACGATGGAAGAAAACTTTGAACTTAATTATTAACCACTTTGCTTCAGGCGTGCGGTCTAAATATTTTGAGATACAAAACCGTTCTGCCATTGCGATTGTGTAGGATAACCTGTGCTAATCAGATGAGATTTCATCAGTTGAAATCTCCCTTAATCCCCCTTAATCTCCTTTAATCAGGCTTTAGACAAAAGTGGTGGTTTGTGTTGGCACAATCAAACAAAATGCTCACCCTGCCTTTTTTTCCACTTGCTGATAATTGCTCAACCTTCGCGACTTCAGACCAGGCGGCCAACAATGTGCGCCTTATTTCCAAGTCACATGGGCGCCTCGTGGAGAGGTGGAGGTTTGGGGACGGGACCGGTGAGGTGACTTTTGACTGAAGGAGGTTGTTGTTGAAGAAAGCGTGGGAGATCGTCAAACAAGCTCTTCCACTTCTAAGTCTCTCAGTCTGCCTCGTCCACGTCCGTGCTTTGTGCTGCGAACAAGTCAGCCGCCGTGAAGATTTAGTCAGAGGGGGGAAGTCAAGCTTGAACTCATTCCAATTTATTTGAAACATTGAAATTTAGAGATATGGAAGCAGACTTGTTAAAATATTCTGATGAAAGACAAGTAACTCAAAGTAGTTATTTAGCTCAGTACTTCAGTGAATGTACTTTGTCACTGCCGTGGATAGATTATATGACACCCAAAGAACGTGCCTCTCTTTTCCGAGAAAGAAAAGGCTGGATTCATGCGTGCTGTGGAACTTCATGTCATCTTCATGTCACGCAGGCCCGCGTACGTTCACTCTCACGCATGCACACTTGCAGGCGCACCGCTCAGCAGAAGAGGATTCTTTGCTCAACAGATTAGCTGTTTAACCCAAAATGTGTCCTTTCAGGAAACAGGAAACAGAAACAGAATCTTGAAAATATTGAACACACATTATTGAGGAAACATTCACAGTCACTGTTTGATTTGGCGGAATGTTTTCATGTAGCTTCAGTGTGATATTTCTTTAATTAATGATCTAAACCTGTATTTTGGATGTGATGTGTAAACATTTGATGGATGAACTCCATATATCATTGGACGGATGATTCGGTTCCTTTCTTCGGCCTGTTGGTCCAGACGTTTCCGGTCAAAGCGTCCTCCGACCTTGTTTTACTGTTTCCCCCTAAACACAGAAGATGCAACGCGACCACAAGGACTTTGTATGCAGGATTTTGTGTCTTTAAACAGTTTGTTCTCTTAACAGCTTTTAACTGTAATGCAGTTTAGCATTCATAAGCTCCTCTACTCTGTTTCCACACATGAAAATAACAAATACTTTGACACAAGTAGGGACAAAAGTCACACTGCTCCCAATAATTAAAAGGATTAACAAGAACAGAGCTGTGAAGAACAAGAGATACAGGAACGTTTGACTCGCTCTATTGATTTGATTCATCACATCACGCGCATAACACACACAAAGACACACACACAGTCAGATTGAATATCCAGACGGTAGGACCTCAGAGGACAAGTGCAAACCTGCAGCAGTTTCTGTTGCTTTCCAGCCAACCGTGCTTTTTGGCACATACTGTGTCTTCATGGAGCTGCTGCAGTGAAACCCATTAGTCCTCCTCACCCGTTTGACCTGTGACATGACGAAAAACACCGACTGATGCAACACAGAGCAGGGCCCTGCCTCCTCGTGACCCTGAAGGTTTTGGGGGAATCCTCGAGGAACCCTTAGAAAAGAGGTTAGATTCAAGAGCACCAAACATTTTTCATGCCAGAACCGCTAAAGTGAGCGCGCAAACACGCAGGAGTTTCACTTGAACCGCCGCCAGACCTCTCAGCCCGAGTGGCGTGAGAAGCCGGGATGACTGGGGGGATGTTTACATCTTTTGAGAAATAAAAAAGGTAATGAAAGAGTAAAAAAGAACTGTGATCAGGCCATGTCCTCACTGTTTATTCAGGGGTTTTAGTAATGAGTTACATTTGAATCCTTTTATACTACCCAGATTGGTGGATTAAGACGTCAGTATTGACTCTAAAATAATGAATATGTCCATAGGCCTACAGTTATTTCCTTAAAAAAATGCCTCCATAAAATTGCTCTACTTTCTCCTCAGGCCTGTGCCTTTAAAGTGTGAACTCTTTGCATAGGGTCGGCGGAAGTGTGAAACTGCTGCCAAGACAACTTCTTTACATGAATCTCTTTTGTTAGCTGATCCTCAGACCAGTCAAACCAGCAACACCTTGTGTCTCGGTCCATCCCAGGGTGGAGCAGAGAAATCTCTACAGTTGACAAGCTGGGTGAGGCTAACTGCCACCTCTGCTTTTCCTGCGGGTCAGAGTTTCAATCTGCGGAGATTTGTTCATGCGCACACGTTTGATGACTAACACACACACACACACACACACACACACACACACACACACACACACACACACACAGATTATCATGAGGGTTTGAGACAGGTTTTTTCATGACCTAACACCTTGTTCCTACTGTAATATGCAGCACTTAGGATAAATGTATGTGGAGGTCGTATCCTCTCATTTTGGGTGATATGTAGAAACCGGTTTCCATGTACACATTTTTTTATATATTGGAAACACACCAGGATCATGGGAACATGCTGTCAAAATTGTAAATGTTGTCCTCTAACTCAGGCCGGCCTGATGAAGTACTAATCCACACTCTTAAGAAGTGCACCTCTGAGTCAACTGACACTTTAGAGGTTTCTGCTTTTTAGAAGGAGAAAAGACGAGCGTGAACACGTTGGCGGAAACACGTCAACAGCGAACGTCCCCAGTCAGTGGCTTGGTGACCGCTGAGGGCCAGCAGAGGGCAGAATACAACAACAATTATGTTAAATCAACAAGCAGCCTTCAAACCCACTCCCCTCACTCAAAGAAAGAAGTTGTATAACGTTTATCTGTTTCAAATATCTGTTCCAACAAGCCTACTTTCCTGCTTTAGGGAAGGAAACTGGACTTCACACACACGCGTGCTACCTCACACAACACACTACTTCACACAACTCAAAGAGGGCTTTATGTGCTCTCGGCCCTTTCTGACCCCTCTATTTTCATGCAAATGTGTTCCTGTAGGGACACTGTACAGACGCTCTTGTCTATGGAAATTAATAGCGGACTGCAACTGACGCGCAGATAAAAGACAACGTTTGATTAACAAAGCCTCTACGGCGGGATGTCTCTCATTAGGAATAATACTCACGCTCACACACATACGTACACTACGTCCGACTCTTTGTCTCCTTCCTTTCTGCCCTCTCTCTCTCTCTCTCTCTCTGTGTCTCTCCCTCATGAATATTTTACCATTTCCATTCCCCTGTAGTTTTGCTCTTGCTCTCTCTTTCTCTGAAACACGTCTCCCTCCCTCGTTTTATTCTCCCCTCCTTTTGCCTTTCTTTCATCCCGATGAGTGTGGAGAGGGGGTTTGGTATTGTTCTTTTCTATGACACAGTCAGGGCAACAACAAAAAAAAGACCGAATTTATTGTCATAGATTATTATGCCCTTGAACAGACAAATAAAGAAGCCGCTTAAACACCCAGGCGTCTTCACCCATCACATTGCTCTGATCAATTTATCTATTTATAATCTATTTCAGGTCCCGACATGCACCGACGGCTAATAAGGCAGCAGGACACGACAAAACAGAGGGAGGATGGACATTGTGGCCCCTCTCCGCACAAGAGACAGGATTTCTAGGCAGAAAGTGCGGCGATAATATCATCCATCCCCTGCTGTTCCTCTACTCCTCTTCTTCCTCTTCCTCCACCTCCTCCTCTTCCCTCTTCCTCCACCTCCTCCTCATCCCTCGTCCTCGTCCTCCTCCTCCTCCTCCTCCTCACAACACACTCGAACACAGATGTTCCCATGCACCTCCCCTCCCTCCCGATCCCCCGCACTTACAAAACGTTGGCGTGCCGCTGGTAACCATGGAAACCGTTGTGTGCCGGGCCCCTCTCGAAAATGTATTCATAAGAATCACACTGTGGTATGAAAAAAGGAGACCATCGGACCCAGTGGAAGGAGAGGAGGCGGCATTCATCACCATGACGACGGCAGTGGAGGGTGTTGATGCAGACGGTACTGTACACACAAAAAGTTGTGTACAAAAACAACGGGTCATCTTGTGTCTTTCTTTTTAACAGTAAGAATAGTAAATGAATCCATTATAACTGAGTAGTACAGATAACTCACGATCCGCCTACTTTTTCTGGAGGTTCCCATCTCATCGTCTTCTCTTGTGGTCTGCTTAGTTGTCTCGCACAAATTCCATTACAACTGACTTTCAAAGACTGTGAGACCAAGAGATAAAATTGAAGGCAAGCAATTTAAAAACGTATTAAAAGTCAAATTGTTCCTTTTTTTTTCATCCAGTTTTACCACCATCTCTCCTCCAATCTACAATTTGTATTCAGTAAACTTCAGTAAACAGGTCCAAGAAATGTGTTAATTCATTATTGTCACACTTTTTTGGATGGCACGTGAAAGAAAATAAAACCTTCGAAATGACATTCATTATCTGCCACAGGTTGTCTCAATCCGAGGGACCTCCTCCTTTCAACGATGTATTTTCACACAAGGCTAAACAACATTGTATTCGTATTCTCTGTGCCCCACGGACCACGCCCGCCTTCCTGTCTCGGTTTGTCTCATTGTGTCTTCCACACACTGCGGTCCACCCATCAGCCCAGTCAACGCCCTGGGACACCCGTCCCGGTGGACTGTAAACAGCGGTTTTGGAGTCGCATGCAGACTCACGCTTAAAGACAAAAAAGACAAAAAACACTGGAAGCCATGTGAAGACGACACTGGCCAGCACGCAGCGTCGGCCTGTTTACTGGCAAGTCAGCGGTGACACGCTCCCCTGGCATCCTCCCTCTGTCTGCCCCCCCCGACCTCCCCACCGACCACCCTGAATCCTGTCTGCCTCCGTGTGGGTTTGACTCTCTCTTTCTCTTATAAGCTCCACGTGACCTCGCAGATCAAGAGATCCCTCAGGATGCCTGCGAGCATGTCAAAGATATCTGTTTTATTTCATTTTCACTGCCCCTTGGTCTCCATGGCAACAGTCAAAGTCAGGGAGTGGAAAAGAGACTCTGAGAGAGGCGGGTTCGTCGAGATGAATCATGGCACGATGCGGACCATTTAAAGCCGTATGTGTTGGCCCATAACATGACGCGCTGTTTCAACTCGTCAGAGAGAACTTGTTTTCCCCGGGGGCCCCTATGGCAAAAGAGACCCAGGGGCGGATGATAGAAAAATTAAATAATAGTATAAGATGGACATTATTGAACCTCTCTGGGGGGTCTGGGGACCCTCAGCTGGCACACAACAAGCTCTGTTAGTCTATTCTGCAGCTCTTTCTGGCGCCTGATTTTCTTCAAAGTATGAATAATTCCCATTACAAATACATTTGTGAGAAACTGGTCGGTTTAGTACCTTTATTGACTTGGGGAAGATATTAAAGATATAAGACAATAATCTAAAATACTTTCAAGAAATCTTTTTTTAGGGTGATATTTTCAAGGTGAGCAAATATTAACTTGATTCCTGCATGAAGTTTATCTTTTTACAATAATCATTTTCAGGATAGGACACAAAATGTGTTCGGCAGAAAGAAATGACAGAGGAGAGGAACTCGGGTTAGCCCTTTTTTCAAAGCCTCTCTGCTGCATCATCACAGGGCAGGGCCACCTTGGGTGAAGAGAGGAGGAGGAGGAGGAGGTGGAATAAATAGAAAAGAGAGCAGAGGGCTCGTCATCAGAGCAGAACGTGACCGGAGGCCTGGACGCAGATTGAAGCCTCTCTCCGCTTCTGCTCCTCTCTCTCTCTCTCTGTCCCTCTCTCTCTCTCCTCCCCGCCGTCTGTGCTTGTGAGCCTTTTACCCCGATCGGCACCTCGGTGAAACAAAGCCGGTGTGCCGACAATCTTGTGGCTGTGGGAGAAGATCATTCATCACGAGTGTAAAAGCTGAAGACCATGCAGATCTCCATCTGCGTTGCATAATCGACGCAGAGCAGGCGGAATGGCCTGAAGTAGAGAATAAATAAATTACATGTACGCTTGTCACACACCACGGTGCTGATATTGTTGCAATATGTTTTTAGAAAAAAACATTGATTAGAAAAACCTAAACTGATGAAAAGGTGTTGAAACCGATGCAACACATGCATGCACATGCGCTCTTCATAAATCACATCCTGTTGAAGCGCAGCGTCCGGAAGACAACTTCCTCTGGGGAAATCCCTTGTGTGTGCCAGATCTGGCTCCATTTATGTTCCTAATACAGTGTCAAGCATTGTAATTGTTAACATTTGGAGTTTAAGTGTCTACATGCTCAGAATATCATCTCCGTTTCGAACTACATTCAACTGAGCCATTGTGTTTTTTTAATGACGATGGAACGCGTGGGCAGACCGCTCACATTGCTGTGGTGACAAGACCACAGCAGAAGGTATGAGAGGACAGAGAGAGCAGATCAATTCAAAGAATGATAAGAAAACCATGTTGGAAATAAAAGCACAGACCCGGAGATAAAGGGGCTCACGGGCAAAGAGCCTCTTCACCTCTAATGGAAGTGTAATGTGAGCAGAGATGGCATTAGCTCAAGGGGATTTACAGCAAACACTTGAGCAGAATCGCCTTGGTCTGATGGAGGCCGCTGTGGCGTTCACATATGTCCAGGCTAACACGCTATTTAGCGTGCTAAAACAGCAGAGATTTTATAGCATGCCTGGTAACCTATTTTTCTTTTTAGTCAATATTATTTTCAGTAACCTGCTATAAGGCAACTTAACTAACTGTGCTTTCTTTCTCTAAGTTTTAAAGCTGACCTGTTTAACAAGCTGTGTCTCACATATTCTGGCATGAACTGCATCCCCCCCCCCCCACTCTCTCTCTCTCTCTCTCTCTCTCTCTATTAGGGCTGCCGTCCGACCCGGCTAGCTGATGCTAAGTTTATCTCTGTGCCAATCTGTGCCCTATGGGCATGCACAGGCAACCCAGAAAAGGCAGAGTGCACTGTCAGTTAGAACAACCAGGGGATGGAAGGAGGGGGGGGGGGAACTCTGCATGGCCTGCTCTGTTTATTATGACCCTCAAGCTGCAATCTACCGCCGAACAAGGGGGGCTGTGGGCAAACATGTGTGAGTTGACACGTGGGATTGAGAGCGTGCGGGTTGGTCATCCGCGAGAAACTGTCTCATTGCATCTTAACGATTGAAATGATAGCAGGGTCCTTTTGAATGTATAGAAATGAACTTGATGCCCTGCGCCCGATGACCTTTCTGCTGCTGTCTGGCTGTAAAGGAACTGACTTAGTCACTGAATAATTAACAAACGCATTATGTGAGCTCCATGCTCATCATGCCATTGTTAAGCACTGTATTAAGGGAAGGTCTGGTTCTTTCTAGTCCGGTAGATAAGATGTTGCGATGTACAGTATATCGCAAAAACACAGTATGAAAACACAGTTTCACCTTCCGTCTACTCTAGGTCTGCACAAGACGCCGAACGTGACCTAGAATGCACGTTCACATCTTCATGCACCTCCAGGAAACCAGCAAGTAAATGTACTATTCTGTTTAAAGTTAGGGTTTCAGTTGGTGCACTGCAATGTGCTCCAAACCCATTAGTCAATATATAGATCCATAGTGAGGCATGCTGGTGAATAATTGATCTGGTGACCTCTGTGCAGTGAGCGGACATCGCCACACTGGAAAAGCCCCTCAGGACCGGGAGGTCCCAGCCGTGATGGTGGAGTGTTGCATCAGGTCGAGCTGGGAGATGGTGTAGCGGCTCCCAGATGTTGAACCTTTGGTTGAGGTCTTTTACCAGTGTGCTGCACTGTAACAAGGCGTTTTTTTTTCCTTACCTCAGTTTGAAACAGGATTGTGCAACATGTCCATACTTACAGCATAAAAATCTCTGTGAAATGTGAATGTTTGCCTGAACTAAGTTAGTCAGATTACTAAGGAAATCCTTCAAGGTCAGAGTGTAGTAGTTTTATGGTCAACTGCAGCATTACATTACACTTCTATGATATTTTTTTTTCTCCTGATTCATGCAGGTTTTGGAGGAACTTGTGTCTAAAAGTGTGCTTTTTGTATAAAGGTCACTTAAAATGATTGATTCATGAAACACTAAAGAAAACAGAAGAATATAACTGCACTTTACGATTAGGTCCATGTCCTGGTCAAACTGTTAATAATTTCTTTGTCGCAAGCCAAACGCTGCATTTATTAGCCTCAGAGGGACACGCCCAGTCACACATTACAGAGCTCGGCTGTGTTGGATCCAGCAGCATGCCATTCACCTCACCTTAGAGTTAACCACAGGGAGTGGCAGTAAAAAAAGTAAAAAAAGAAAACACTTGTAACTTTCCATTTCAGTTCATCTCCCCACAGAGAAGGAAGGGAGAGGCTTGTGTGATAGCCATACTCTACGCTTGAGCATTTATTCTCTTAACATTGTGAAATTCTAATTCTAACAACTAATTACGCATACTTAACAATTCTGCTGTTGCTTTTCAATGCATGCTGCACATGTTTATGATTGGTTTAAGAGTCCCCTACACATCCATGTATTGCAATTTATTTTGTTTTATTATATCAATGTGTTGGCAAAGAGTATCTTATTTGTGTTAAACTGAGCTTCAAATAAATTGTTATGCAAAAGAAATCCCGCAAATAGTCTGCAAAAAAGTGTTAGAGGTGATTTGCAGTAACTAGATCACTCCAGGGATTATAAATGCGTTCATAA